CATCCGGTGCAAAGGAAACGTGAGGGTAAAGAAGAGAAACGGGAAAAAAAAAAAAAAAAAAAAAAAGAGGAAGATGGGAAAAAACGGACATTCTTCACTAGTGAGGCAGCATGGTGAGACAGGGAAGGACAAGCAACGTGCTCGTTGATCTATATCAAATACTGACAGACTGACAGTTCTTCTTTTCCTGAAAGAAGCAAACTCCGGGTTTGCCACTGCCTTTTGCGCGAATCCCAAAAATGCCCCTCCCGGACACAACAGGTCGAATACAGCCATTTTCTATTAAATTTTACTACAACTTCGAGGAACATGCTTTTTGGACAACGCATGCTCCTGTCACGACCTGGAAGGCTGACAATTGCGCTGGTTGGACATGAATCGGGAATGGATTTGGGCGCGAGCCGTTATTCAAACAAGTTCAGAAGATTTGCTGAGCCGAACTCACCAAACTGTGCTCAGCAGGCTCAGGCAATCAATTTCAAAGGTTTCTACTCAACTGAGGGAATACCTCAAACTTAGTGGACCCTTCTCAGTGGTTCTGCTGAGCCAAAGTCAGGGCGCTGTATTATGCAGGCTCAACCTTGATACACAACCAGACTGGACTCAAGACTGTTGAATTATTGAACTTTGACTCCACATTGCGGACTAAGTGAAACTGCAACAGTGGCAGCAGACTCACAGGATGTTGGGGAGGCTGTCTGGGCGAGATTGTAGACTCTGGATTTCACAAAGCAGACTTAGTCTCAAGGACGTAGGGGCAAGCTCGCCAGTTAAACTGCAGCGGTCGGCATGACTAAGCTGGACAGCTCAACTTCAGATAGCAGATCTCTAGACCATTGGAAACAGAGCTGGGAAAGGAGACCGGACTAGAGCACATCAGACTAGATCAGACCAACCCAGATCAGATCAGACTGGGACCAGAACATACCAGACCAGACCGGACCAGACAGGACCAGACCAGACCCGGGACAGACCGAGCCAGATCAGATCAGACCAGACTCGAGACAGACCGAGCCATATCAGGTCAGACCAGAACGGGACAGATGGGACCAGATCAGATCAGACCAGACTCGAGACAGACCGAGCCAGATCAGGTCAGACCAGAACGGGACAGGGGACCAGATCAGACCAGACCAGACGGGATCAGATCAGACCGGACCAGACGGGACCAGATCATACCAGACCAGACGGGATCAGGTCAGACGAGAACGGGGCAGACGGGACCAGCTCAGACCAGACCAGATGGGATCAGATCAGACCGGACCAGACGGGACCAGATCAGACCAGACCAGACGGGACCAGATCAGATGTTACATGCTGAAAGCCTACACACGGGCCCCTCACGGGACCCGAGGTTGGAATAGGGCCCCCAGGTCGCGTCACCGCAACCTGAAGGCCCTATGGCATTKTYWCTTGGGCCTGCATCAGAAAAACGCCAGCTTTAGATTATTTTTATAGTCTTTATTTTATTTATTTGCTGCTGTTTTTCTAACGGGTGTACTGTTGTCCGTTTTGTGGCCAGGTACACGCTTCTAGGGCCAGGGCCAGATTCAGGCCCAGAGGCTG